CCTTGGTCCCTCCATTCCTAAATATAAGTATTTATAGACATTTCAAATGAAATACAACATATGAATGTATGTATACATATTTTAGAGTGTAAATTCACTCATTCTGCTTCGAATGTAGTCACTTGTTGAAATTTCTATAAAGACTTATATTTGAGAACTGAAGGAGTATATTGTAAGAAAAATGTTCAAGCTAATTTGTGATTTTGTTTCACTACAGCTTGCAAAAACGTTTTATATTGTAGGATGAAGGGAGTAACAAATAAGCAAAATATACCATTTTTACATGCAAGGAAGCCAAATATGTACAGCGTGTATAGTACATGAAGGGTCTCTTTAGGACACATCTAGATGTGACATAGTTATGTCACATCTAACCTGATTTTCACTCTGTTTGTGGTCTATTTTTTTTTGTCCTAGTTTTTTTTTGTTTCTTGTTGATGCATTATATACTTGTGGAAGGTTAGATGTGACATCCTTAAAAAACATCTAGATGTGAATTAGACAAACTGGTACACGAATATCTAAAGCAGCACGCACCATACACCTCTCCACGGAAAAACCTAAACAGACGGTGGCCGGCCGACGCCCGCGGCCGGGCCGGTGTCGGAGCGGCAGACCGGGCACGTCGAGTGCGCGTCCAGCCAGGGGTCGATGCACTCCGCGTGGTACATGTGCAGGCACGCCGGCAGCAGCCGCACCGTCTCGCCGAGCTGCAGCGCGCCGAGGCACACCGAGCACGTCGCCGCCTCCTCCTCCCCGCCGCCCGTCATGTTGCGCTTCACGGACGGGCTGTACGTGAACGCCGGGAGGCCGGCCGTGGGGCTGGCGGCGTAGGCCCGGCCAAGCTGCCGCTCGCCAACGACGCGCACGCCATTGCGTTCCGGCACGGGCCACCGCCAAGCGGCGGCCGCGGCTCGAGCGCGGCGGTCGCGGTACTCCCTGCAGAGGGTGCACACGGCGGTGAACACGATCAAGCACGCCACGACGCCGATGAGGAGGCCGGCCAGTATCCTGCCTTGGGTAGACGATGGCCTAGCATTGGACGGCGGCGGCGGTAGTGAAGGATGGAATGGCCACCGCGGTGGAGGGGGAGAGGTGACAATGGGGACGAAGCCCGGGGGCGATTGAGCCACTGATGCTCGTCGTGCGCAACTGTTGCTTGTGGTATGGTTTAAGCAGTATAAGCAGACTCTGTCGGGGAAGAATTATAAGCGGATAAAATCAACCACTCCTACTTGCAAGCCTGTGGTCAAAGGGGTTAGTTAATTGATTGCCGATTCATTGTCAAATGCGCGTTTAATGGAAGGGAAATCGCGGCACGATACCAAGCGACGTCGTGGCACTGCTGCTGTCTATGTCATGGGCTTCGCTCAGGCTGGAGGAAAGGTGCGAGTGTAGGTGAACTACGGACATACCCAAGTCCAATTAGAAGCGAAAATTGCATCCCTTCTACATAATGACACACATGATCCTTATTTCAGCCCAAATGATAAGTGTCACACTTGTGGCACGAAGCACTCCGGTCATGGCGTTTTTTACAACTAAATAAAACTACCATCCGAAAAGAAAAAACTAACTAAAAAATACTAAAACTTGTCATTTGAAAAGGAAGTTGCCATGCTTGACAACTAAAATTGCCATCCTCGCGTCACTGTATTTATTATAAAAAACGTTCAAAGTTGCCATGTGTTTGTATCGTACGTGTGACATTTATAAAGGTCCCCTTTCATATGGTTGGGCGAAGCCATTGCGGACGATCTCAACAGTTCTACTGGGGAACCGTATAATTCGAAGGTTTCCACAAAGACAAAGCCGGGAGAGTGAGATCTTCAAGACAAGACATTGGAGACCAAATGACCCTGAGGACGTCCACAAATACTTGCAAATAGGACAGATGCATCATTTGAAGATTCCTGTCTTATGTTGCCCAGACAACTGAGTAGACGTATTTTTGAATATATACAGCAAGCAAAATCAATCCAGCAAACTAACACCCGTCAAAATGTGCATCTAGCTAGACAGCGGCCGGGTCGGTGTCGGAGCGGCAGAGCGGGCACGTCGAGTGCGCGTCCAGCCACGGGTCGATGCACTCGGCGTGGTACAGGTGCAGGCACGCCGGCAGCAGCCGCACCGTCTCGCCGACCTGCAGCGCGCCGAGGCACACCGAGCACGTCGCTGCCTCCTCCCCTCCGCCCGCCACGTTGTGCTTCACCGACAGGCTGTACGTGAACGCCGGGAGCCCGGCCGTCGGGCTGGCGGCGCATGCCCGGTGAAGCTGCCGCACGCCGCCGCTCTCCGGCAGGCTCTGCGTCGGAGCCGCTGCCGCGGCGCGTGCGCGGCTGCTGCGACGCCTCTTGCAGAGGCTGCACACGGCGAGGCCAACGAGCAGGCAGGCGACGAGGCCGCCGAAGGTGCCGGCGACGGTCCTGCCTTGAGACGAACCGCCGGACGGCGGCGGCGGCGGCGGCATGGAAGGACGGTATGGCCACGCCGGCGGGGGGAGGGAGAAGCCGGGGAAGCCCGGCGGCCACCGAGCCATCGGTGCGTGTGTAGCAAAACTGCAAACCAACTCTACCGTTGTCTGCTGGTTTTATAATCTTGATTGAAGCAAATTATCATGTTGGAGCGCAACTTCATGGAAACTGACCCCGTGGACAAACTGACAGCCGACGTTGAAGCAAATTATTATTTTTCTCTGCGAAACGAAGGGGAAATCAGGGGACTCGGCACGGCTTCGCCTCGCTTGCACGCTAGGGTAACTGGGCGGTGGCGCTAAGCTGACGTTGCCAAGGCCGTTCCCGTTCCTGTGAATTATGTGGTGTTGGAGATCAGCAGGTTAAATAGAAGAAGCTGTTTTTTTCCTTGTAGACGCGAGACCGGTCGGCTTCGCCTCACTTTCCGTTTACACACGATCTTGAGCTGAACCGGATCTCTACTCTGGTCCTGCAACAGGCACCGAGCTTTTACAACCGAAGCAAACCAACCGAGATTTAGCGCCATCCAATACCTCTGTAAATAGACTAGGTTACAACTTACAAAGTCATAAACCAAACACGAACTCAGGGTCAGGGAGCATGTCGATATGGCCACAAAGCAGAGAAGCAAGCAAATGACACCACTTGTGCAGCACCGAGCTTTTACACCCCTGTTGACAGACATGCCCTTCCATTTCGACCGCAAAACCACCCTGGTCTGCTATATAAACCCATGAGACACAAGCAACTGAAATGAGCTCCCTTTCCATGAAGTGCCTGCTCTTCACCTCGGCAGTCGCCGCCCTTGCCCTTTTCCGCATTGCCGCTGTAGGCGCCGGCCTGGAAGTCGGATTCTACAGCAAGAGCTGCCCATCAGCAGAGAACCTGGTAAAGCAGGCAGTCACCTGCAACCTTCAAGAACAATCACTGGTGTCGCCTGCGCTTCCACAACTGTTTTGTCAAGGCATGTAGACGGCATATACTTTCCTATACCTGCACTATCAACATAAGGTAAGCATGAGTTGTATGTATGTTCACGGTAACAACCAATAGGATTCCTTCTTTGCACCCCTAGTTGAATTATGAACCGCAGGAAAAGTATCGATTCTGCAGCATGCCACATACGTAGAAGCTAGAGTAAAGTACTCAGGAACATCTATTTGTTGTCACATATGCACAACGTAGAAACTACAACAAATATGAGTTACAAACACCTTTCTCATAGCAGAAAAGACGGTACCATCCTTTATAATCAACATAAGCACATAGCATAAAGCGATCGTGTAAGTATTATTTTCAAGCTAGCCGCAACTGCAGGCTGATAATTATTTCTATCGTTGACTAGTTCGTGCTGCCACCAAAGCACCTCAGACCCATCGCGGAGGTAAGGGTATTTGATCTGTCAAAAACTCCCAACACACAGGCAAAGATTGGTTTGTGGCACGCATTCTCGTTAAAGTCTCAATTTGTATGCAAATTTGCATTTAGCCAGCATATGGCCCAAAAAGATAAAGCTGATATGCAATATGCAATATTGATCAGTCAACACTGCTTTTGTATATACCAACAAGAAACATGCATGTTAACAAAATGCAAAAGAGCAACCAGCATATATGTCTATCATCAAATCTAATGCCCACGTTCATACTCAAACAAATATTTGCGAGGTGATCTACTGTTATAAAACACAATTACCATATGCTAACAGGTTTGTGATGGCTCAGTCCTGAATCCGAATTGACTCGACGGCAAACAAAACTTCTGAGAAAGACGTCATTCCCAACAAACCCAGCCTCCGTGGGTTCGAGGTAACTGAAACTGCAAAGAAGGCCATCAAAGCCCAATGCCCCAAGACAGTCTCATGCGTGGACATCCTTGCCTTCGCCGCCCACGACAGCATCACGCTAGGAGGAAATGTTACTTACAAGGTGCCTGCTGGGCGCCGCGACGGCAGGACGTCCACTGACCAGAATGCCCTCAACAACCTACCCTCACTAGTCACCACTCTCAACAGCTTCTGAGCTGGTTGGCGACTTCACCTGAAGGACCTCACAGCTCAGGACATGGTCATCCTCTCTCGTGCGCACACCATAGGCGTCTCGCATTGCTTGTCCTTACAAAGATCCTATATGGCTTCAGCAACACCAGTCAGGTATGATGGTGTTCAGAACTATCGCTAGATCTCAGACATTTTCCTTTCGGGCCTTATGGTATGCATCTAGTCTAGTATCTATGTCTATAATGATTGTTTTACTGCCAGGTTGATCTTACCCCGAGTCCCCGACGATGCTTGACAACAAGTATTATGTGGGTCTGACAAACAACCTAGGCCTGTTCACGTCAGACCAGGCATTGCTCACAAACTCAAATCTGGGAGCATCGGTTGACGAGTCTGTCAAAAGCGAGAAGAGATGGAAGAGCAAGTTTGTTAAGTCCATGGTTAAGATACGGCTCAGCTGCAGGGTCATAAACAAAGGTTGTACTGGTCTTGAGCTTAACAATGACCCCGACTCTGGTGAATTCACTGAACTAGCGACAAGCTAGTGGCAGTTGTGGACTGGTCTCTAGTAACTCGATAAACGCTATGCTTAGGTCATTGCTTTGACAAGAATAAAAGAAAAACAGACATATAGAACAACTCAAGGAAAAGAAAAAATTGTCCAGTTTTCTGCTTTGTTCTGTCTGTTTAGTTTTCTTGTAATAATGCCAGATAAAAGTTCTTTTTACAATGTTGCGCGTCGGAATCAGGTTTTGGTTACCATGCGGTATTTTCGGTTACCGCCCGGTAGCTACATTAACCAATCACCTCCGGTAAACAGATGAAAACTACTGGCTTTATTCACATCAACCTCAATGTGAATAAGATTGCAGGTCCATAGAAATATCACAAGTCTTTGAGATCCTTGCTGCTAATTAGGTATGACAATAAGCAAAAGGAGGGCAACATCAATGCCGTCAATTCCAGATAATGATATTCTGGTCATAGCTCTCGGAAACTTTGAGCCCAAACATGTGCACATAATGCTGAGTTTTATTCTATAGCTGTGGTCAAAGTTGTTTACAACCTATTTTCTTCAGCTTTGAGCTCCAGTCTTGACTATCTCCAGTTTTCATACAAGCGGGATTCTTCAAGAACTACTCCTAATCTGACAATGACATTCACCGCCGTATTTTCGGCTTTGTTTTGGGCACAAGAAACAGATGCCCCTCTATTTGGACTCTTAAATTTATGCTAATAAATGGCAACTGAATTGTCATCTCAAGAAATATTTAGTAGTAGTTAAACTAATATCGGGAGCATTTTTCTTGAAGAGAACTAGTAATGGAAACTAATCGGCTTAAATGCTAAAAGCTGACTTGCCCTTCTTATACTTCGTTCAGGCCCAAATGAGACATCATATTCACATTCAAAGAAATTAGCATCAAGGGCCACTAGCAATTACAGAGGTACTTTTAGACTTTTAGCTACATGAACATGAGTGTGATATAATCAGTGCATATATCAAACAGGAAGACTAGCATCTCAACAAAGAAAATGATGTAAGTACAAGTAGTGGTTAGTTTACTTGGAAGATCTTCAACGGTTCCCATTACAACCTCTCGGCATTTGTAGTAGATAAGAGAACCAGCCATTCATAAGGAAAAGGAGGGGAAAAGGCCATAAACTTGACGCAAAAAAGTTCGAATATTCTAAACAAGCTGGGACCTATCACTGAGCAACAATTATCAATTATAACTGGCTGGCTGTAGTCTTCCAGGTGCTTAACCAATGTCCATAACTAAAGATGATGCCGCAAGTTGAACCAACCTATGAATGGTCACAGAAAATAAACAAGAACAAAGATATGGAAATGCATTTAATCAACAACATAATAAACTGAAAGCACACTGAGAAGAATGACGGAAATACTTAAAGAGACGAGACACGGAACACAGGACAAGGTTGTGGTGATCCAGCTCATGGGTTCAAATCCTCACTCTCCAAATCAAAGTTACAGCAATGGGACTTCGAACCCACGACAGCAATACAACCTCTAAGAAGTACACAAGGTTAAATAACAACCAAGAACAAGTCTTTTACAAAGACACGGGACACAGATCACTTGAAAACAACACACAACACATAAGCCATAACACAATACTGCTAAACTAGAGCAAGCAAGAAGCTTACTCTCTACCACCACGGTAGAATGCTGCACCCGCGTAGCTCTCAAGAGCAAAAGCTTAAACATCAAGACACCAAGACAGACAACAACACGATCAGGGATTGGCAGCACCATGAATGCCGACCACGCCACTGCTGCCGGACGAGCCACCAGTGCCAGGGAAGGAGCTAGAGCCCGGCATCCCGCCGAAGCCTACCTGTGGCGTGACGCCGTTTGGCCCCGGAAACACCCAGTTGACCGACGGGCCAGGGTAGAAACCACCGAACCCAAAGACGTTCTGGGGACGGTAGGACTCGGGCTCAGTTGCTGGGATGTCCCTCGCACCATGGCAAGCAACGGTGGTGGCGAGCAGGAGGCCAAGAACAAGGCTCGCGCTGACGCCGTTACGTCTCTCCATTGTTGCTACTGCTTTTGCTTGCCGACCATCTGGTTTGGCCAAGAGCAAGTTGCACATCCCCCTCTTTTATAACCGCTAGTGTAGTGTACTGTGCATGATCGTTGCGGTGGCTGTGACTGAAACTGAAAGGTGGGCCTAACTTGTGTTTCTTTGCGGCAGGACCCACCTGCCAGTGAGCGTAGCTATGCCAGTGGCTCCAAAGGTTTTGGCTACGGTCAAACCAAAACATGGACCGCAGATCTCCATGGGACCATACATGTTTACTCTGTTGGTGTACTTCTAGCTTGAGTTAAGATCATAATTCATAAAGCTAAGACTTGACATACTGAACTTATGTTCATATCTGATGCTGGGTGTACAGTGGCCTGGGTGCGCATACCGAGGGTTGCAAGGCCTCAGACTGCAGTAAACGAGAGCATTCATATCACGACTGTAACAGGAACCAAGCTCCAATTTACTCTTCCTCCACAACTACCCAACTACCCACATTTAAGCTCCCATGATCCATGTCAGGTACGTCTGCAGCAAATTCAAGGCATCCTCAGCTTTGTGGCAGAACAAACCAATAGGAAATCGACAGACAACACTGTAACATTTCTCCAATAAAGGACAGGCAGGTTTCAGAACAGATCTCAACTCAAGGGGTAGAAGATGGCTTCACGGTTAACAAGAAATGATTTATTAGAAGAGTGATCCAGACTCCAGAGTCCAGTACAACAAATGTATGTGATACATACTGACAAGTTTTCCTAGCGTTGATCAGGTTTTGCCAACTACAATTTGGATACATTGTGTCCAAAACCGGGCAAGCAAAACCATACGGTGCAACAAACTAGAGCAAAGAGTGAGAGCTACAAGCTTCGGCTTCACTAGAACAACAAAGCTAGAAAGTTCAAGTAATATATAGCGATGTGTTATTGCATAATTGCAAGGGAAAAGATTAGACAAAACTTGAAGCTTATACTCAGCCATGAATTTTACAACAGTAAATTTGGCTACATATGTATCCTGTAACCTGTAGTGTCTGCTGGCGAATTGAAGTAAACAAAAACTATGAGCAAGGCACCACTAAAATTTTAGAAATGAGAGAGGCACTGCTAAAATATTTGAGTCGATACAAGGGAAAGATGATTACCACTACTGGAACCATCTAGTGGCAGATTTTGAGAAAACCATCTTCTGTTCCAACGACAAACAATCTTGACAAAGGAAGCACAGAAATAGCCGAAAGAACAGACATGTTTTTATATTTTACTCCTCTGTCAGTCGAATATAAGTTCTGAAGTACGAGCTGCTGATGTCCGATCTGCATGGATTTTTTTTTTCACAAAATGTACCAACAGTTACTTCGGCAGGAACAGAGTGGACTTGCAATTCATATGGTATGTGAAATTCCAAAAGAGGCTGCACTGCTGCTCCAAATAGTAAAGTTTGCAAAAGAGCGTGGTGGTGAATGTGGTCAAGAGGAGAAAGTACATACCTCACTTGTTGGTCTCGATAGGGAAGTAAGTGCAATTTTGTTTCTTGACACTGATACCAGGTCTTGACCCCAAACAGAGAAGTCAAAGATGCCATCTGAATGGCTTCTGAAAATGTTTGACTGGACTGATAGGTTCCTGTCACATTGCGCACAAGACTTTAAGAAACTAAAAAAAATTTAAACTGGAAACAAATCATAAGCAATAAGATATATGCGTATATCCAAAGTTGAGAATCAAACTGCTGCTTCTATGAAATTGTGGATTCAGTGTGATATAACATAATCTTATCACTATCACTATGGCCCAAACAAGATAGTCATGTATCAAGAAAGTTTGAGAACACAAATAGTGCAAGAAAATATTGTATACTGCAGTAATACAATAAGAGAATGGAGAACATGTCATACCAAAATAGGTAATACAACCAATGAATTGTTGCAGTCAAAGAATAATACCTTCTTAGATCCCAAATTCGAAGAGTCTTGTCAAGGGAGCTAGATGCAATCAAGTGGTCCTCTGGTGATGCCAACTTTATGCGCAAATAAAAAGGAACCCATCAGATGCCAGAATAACAATTGCTCATGGTTTTGCCCTATGATGGATGGCATACCTTCGTAATGTGACCATCATGTGCTCGCCAAACTGCAATGATTTTTCCACTACGCTCGTCAAGTAATCGACAATAACCAGAGCTTAGACCTGCTGCAATCCAGGATGATGAAGCCAATAGGCTTCCATTCCTCGGCTTGTCTGAGCCAGACGAGCAAATAGCTGACACGAGTGATGAGAAGGAGATTTCAGCCGAATCGCTCTTCCATAAATGCAGCTTCTGATCCCGAGAGATATCAATAAATCTGCATTTTAACTCAATCAATGTGCAGTTCAATAGTGGACAAATTCTTCGGTAGTGAGGTAGAAACACAGTGAAATAACAGTGAAATAACAGTGAGTTGCAGCGAGAAAGAAATATGTTCTAACTTGCATTACTGATTCTAACAACAAAAACTAACAATGCTTCCAAGCTCACATAACAATGCCCTGGTTAAGTGAAGTAGATATTCTCCCTATTTTGTTTCAGATGTCACTACCAAACATAGTCAAAATTGTGAACATAAATAATGAAGTGGAACGGCAGTGATCACCCATACACTTTACCCAGTAGAATAGTAGGAAGTATATTTTCAGTATATTTTCAACGTAAGTTAGAAACATAATAAAATGACCAAATCCAACAAACAGATGACAAAGTGTATACCTGATAGATCCATTTCCCATGCCAGCAACAAGTTTATCTTCAGATGCCATGTAATGCATGGTCGTATACAAGCTACCACGAAATGCATTCGACAATATTCCACCTGAGAGCGCGTCCTGATTAAGCATGTTTGCCTGTTCAACACATGCAGTTTGCGGCGGAAAGCTTGTTGATGACTCGGTATGAGCTGCTATGAGCTTTCCTGTCTGCCCATTCCAAATATGAATCGTGCCATCACAAGAAGCTACTTTTCCAGTAATTGACAGGATACAGATGGAATTGACAACCTATGTAAATAAAATATCAGAAAATGAACTGTTGGAATGTATTGATAAAGCGCTATATCTAGGGGGTGAAATTAACTTACAAAGAGTACATCAATGAGTTCAAACGCAGAAGAAATGCAAGCAAGATCAAGCAATCCAATATATGGTATAGAATCTAATACTATTAGAACAGTTGAGCTAGAAATCAATCGGCATTTACTGAAAGAACACCGTCCTCTCAGTGATATTACCCTATAGTGATTTATTGTTTCATCACAGCAAACATAACCACTAAACGATCAGAGCACCATATTTCAGACACTAAGCTAAACATCACTACATGGTCTATACAAACTGTGTTTCATTCAGAAAATAAGAACCATCCAACAATAATAGCAAAAAAGAAAGTCATATGAAGGTAGCAAGAGAAACTGACCTCTTCATGCCCGTAATATCCAGATGTGCAATTCATGTTGGCCAACTCCCAACGCTGTATACTTCCTTTAAAACCAGGTCCAACTCCCCCAGTAAAAATCGTGCACTCATCATCATGGACTTCTAATGACCGCAGAGCCCCAGGGTGTGCACGGGCTGAGTAAAGGACTGAAGCTTCGATCTTCCATGGAAGTTCATCCTTCAAACCGCTACTGCGTCCAAGAAGATCTGGTACGCCCCAACTACTGTCAGGAGAAGGGAACCAAAACCACGGCTGATTTCCAGAAGTTGATGCAGACAAATTGTCACTAGATGACCCATGCTCGAGCCTAAATCTGTGCTTGGAAGCTGCCATCCAACCAGTTTTAGGGATTTGAGATTGAGACACAGACGACCCTGCCCCATTAAAAAGGTCTGTTGGAACAACCTCAGACGAGGTGTCATTGCCAGGCTGAAACCTTTGAGTTTTCATGTTTTCACCACTTATAGAACATTTACTGGAAGGCTCAAACTGAAAGAAAGCACAGCTAGTCAAATAAGAAGGAAAACACAAATCTCACCGGTCAATAGGAACCAAGGCAGCTTTTCACATACCTTCCAATTGTACAACCTTTGAAGAGACTGCTCCAATAGAAACCATGTAGAGCAGTATTCACGGATCTTCTCTATTCCAACAAGTGATGCCAAGAAAGGATATAGCAACAACCTACAACAGCTACCTTCAATAAGTAAATATAATGAAGCGTGTATAATTACTTATACCAAACAACGTAACAACAGAAAAATACATGTTTCTACTTACACGAGATCAACTCTAGATTCCATTTTAATCGTCTCACTTTTGTTTCTTTCTGAGATTTTTAACCCTTTTGTAGGAAGGCTAACAGCAGAAGAGTCTTGAAAAAAGGCCAATTCAGCAAAAAGCTCTTTTAGATGTGGCAAAACATGTATGACGGTATTATCTGGTCCAATTCGTAGACAAAGGTCAACAAATGCAGTAGCTGCCACCTAATTAATAGAAAGCAAGCAAATTAACTCGATCAAATGAATTTGAAGGAGTGTTATTGAGAGAGAACTAGTACAAGAAAATCATGTCACTTTGTCAGTGAAGAGTTATTGCCTGAATCACATCAAGGTCCAAATGGATCAGCATAAGAATCTTTATATGAAGACAGACTTGGTCCTGTAAATGCGGTCAAGGTAGGAGTAAGTACACATTTAATTTGACATATATGCCAATTTAAACGTAAGAATTTCATGGCCAGGTCATTATCTATAGAAAGTAATAATATAATTCAATAAAATGAAAGAGGAATTAGCATCTAAATTTAAACTAACAAAATGATGCATTTATAAACCTGAATTCAAATTTATCAATGGTGGGACATCGTGTGCAAGTTCATTTAAATATTGTAATGTGCTGAATTCTTGCTATAATTTTTTTATATCATATTGACTTGTACATGAAACCCCCCAAAAAAGTGTAATTAAGATATGATGATTGGTATCTGGTAGTCATCAAAGTTGTGCTTAAAGTAGAGTTATATCGGAATTTGATTTGTGCTCACTTTTGAAAATATATGTTCCAATTTAGCAAAGCTCTAACAGAACTCAAAATATATCCATTTTCACCAATGATTATATTTATTCACCAAACTTAGTTTTTTTCACTAAAATACCTGGAGAAGCTCCCTGAGAACTGCCTTAACAGGAAGAACTGATACAAGGCCTTCCAACGCAGATAAGCCATCAATCAGAGCAAAAGAGTTCCAACTCTGCTGTGGTTCTGGCTTAGTCACCTTGGAGGAGTCGATACAAAAAAGTATAACATTCCTCAGCAAGGGGAGAATTTGCTTGACAATAAAACTTTCCCCAAGAAGTCCACCTATTATGAATAACGTCAAGCACCGACCAAAGAACAAACATTTTCACCACAAGGAGACAGTGTTAACTGGGATACCTATCCTGACCAAAGTTTCAATTCCATCATCACATAAACCTTTGCCGAAAGAGTGGATTAGTGGTAAAACTGTCTGCATAAAATGGACACATTAATCAGTGAAGGATGGTGTCAGTGCAGTACACCAAGACAATGTGTTCACTGAGACTTGCCTGATGAACAGTGATTGGTATTCCTAGTTCCTCACTTGAACCAATTAAAACAATGGATGCAGAAGATGCAGTGATCTTGTTAGGTGAATTGTGTAAGTTTGCTATGACCAACGGATGCACCTTCTCAATATAGGTTCGTTTTCCCAATTTTTTCCATAACTCTCGGACAAAAGAATCTTGAAGGAGAGAAACCTTCAGATGGGAATATTCTGGTGCCTGTAGCAACAACCAGCAGAAATGACTCATCAGAACAAAGACACATATGCAAAGACCAGAACCTTGAAATGAAAGAAAATATAAGATAAATTTCCCCACTGATGTGTCTTAACCGGCCTGTAAGATTTTCTGAATGATGGGCAGAATATGTTTCTTAGCTGCTTGGACACTCAAGCACTTCAAAAACTCTTTAAGCAGACGCAAGCAAGACTCGGTGTCAACATCCAACCCAGATGATGAAACAAAAGGTAGGCAGTAAGGTGCACACACTTCAGCAGCAAATTCTCCCATGGCTTTAAGTGTCCCTGCACTTGCAAGCTTAGTAACATACTTCAGGTGGTCTCCAGATGTACACAGAAGTTGAAGTGGAGCAAGAAACATATATGCGGATCGAACTGATGGAGGAAAATATGGTGACTCCAGAAGATGCTTTGAACACGGCCTCCTGCAAGAGATCACAAAATTCAAAAACATTCAAACAGTTTCTGCTTGTAAATTTAAGAAAAACATCACCAATGTGCAGGGTATTAAACTACAAATATAAACATCAGACATAATTATTTAAGTTACCTTTTCCATTGCCTTTGGATGCATGACTCAACAAGCAAACGGACATGAACAGGCAATTCATGGAGTGCTCCTGGCAGCATACCAGTTTCTTTATATGCAGCTAGCAAGGAAGCATCAAAAAGTGGTCTGTGCAGATAGATTTCTGCTAACATGCACCCTATTGAAAATATATCATTTGCATGATGCTCAATAACAGAACAAGACCTTTGCTTCCAGCGCAACAGCTCTTGATAACCAATAAAAGAACTATCATCAGACTCAAAGCATTCAAGATAGGAGCCAAAATCAAAATCAGGCACCACCGATAATACACTATCAGGTTGCAATACCTCCTGATCTGAAAATTGGCTCTTGGGATATTTGACTGATGAACAACAAGAAGCAGCAGTGTTAGAGTAACTGTATATTGGATTCAAATGGTGTTGAAGCTCCATAAATAATGTTGCTTGTTCAAACTCTTCCAAATAGTCAACTTGTGAAAACATATTTGGGGAATTACAGTCATTTAACAATAGATCAGTAGTTGAGTTACTTCCTTTTCCTTGGCATCTTGCACAAGATTCCACTTTATTGTGGTAGGCTGAGTGAGGTGTGCTAATAAGACGCTTAGGATGTGGCTTTGTAAAAAGTTGCCGTCGCCCAATTGATTTAGGCCTTGATGGATCACTGGGAGGCAACATGACATTCTTAGCTTCAACAGATGCCTCTCCAGCAAGTTTATAGCCAAAGGTTATATCAATCCAATGATGCAGTTGTTGTGAGACTCGGTCACTCTCCAAGGCATCCCTGTGAAGACAAATGAATTCCTCCGAAGAGGTCACCCAGGAAGGCAAAGCCAAATTACTCATTTCAGAATGAAGAGAGACAAAAATCCAAGGATCGCTATAGAACTCTGGGATGCATTCATCTGGAGTCCATTGATAAAGCCTTTGCATACTAGATGGGTATTCGTTGGGCTCGTAGACAGAGCGGACAGCTGACCTCAAGATGGACTTTGATAGCCTTCTTGCTTTGTAACTGCAAACTGCTAGCTCTGAGAGACACTCATCAGAAACATGATATGGAACATCAGATGATGAGTAAGTAAAATCCAATTGTTCATCGCCCTTTGCCAACCGCCATTTACTTTTGGTGAGGTCTCTCCAGCCAATGTCAGAATTTTCGTCAGGCCTCACTGTGAAATCTATTACCCAAGGCATCACCGGATGAAAAGCTGGATCACCCCATCTCCTACCAGCTAACTTGTTCAAGACAAGAAGGTACTCATAATTGCTCAACTCACCCGTCCACCATCGTTTGAAGTGAGAAGACCAATCTAAGGATGATGGAAGATTGAAACTAGCAAAAATTGATCTTGAAGAACAATCCTCCTCAGCACAGCATGAATTAGGTGTTGAACCTTCAGGTCCCCCAAAACCCCAGTTCTGTTTAACATGAGATATATCACTTATGCTGAGATAAGGCCATAGAGAATCTGACATCAAGATGGTTGATGGTTTCAGATTGCCGTGATGAACTCCAAAATCATGAAGATATGACAATGCAGACATTATTTGGTAGATGAAAAATCTGATGTGCCAATCTGAGCACAATGCCTCTTGGCTGTAGTGCATGATGTTCTCCAAAGTGTATGGAGCCTTTGGTTGAAACATGTAGCAACAATCAGATGATTCTACAACACCTAACACAGGTAAGATGTTGGGGTGTCTCACAAGCCCAGAAGGATGTATATCATCAAATGCTGAAAATCCAACAAAACTGAGAAAACCTAAACCAGCTGGTCCACTGATGGTGTTTTCACACAACAGATTTAGTGAATCAATCACATCCTGTTCAATGGATAAATTCATATAACTTGCCATAAGATCTCTAATTTCTGTAGTGGAGACTCTGCCCAGATAGTAAACAGGAGTTAACTTGGTGATTATGTTTACAATTAGTTGCTGATTATTCGAGCTAGAAGAACTTTGAAGATCTCCAATATGTTCAATACCAGGAGAGGAATCTGCTTGCACAGCACAATGATTATCATCTTTAAATATGAGTGATTGCTCCAATGGGTTGTTTTCACTGCAGGGATGAAAAATGTGGAGCATGTAATATCTTGAACATAGAAGCCTTTTGGAGATGTACATAATACACTTGATAAGAAGCTTTACCATTTTTTTGTATCCACATATGTCTTACCACCATTTAGTACCACCAACACAAAATAACCACAGGTCTTCTGGCTGCAAGATACATATTTGTCACTTTTTAACAAATAAAAATAACAAATTATAAGAAAGGGGAAACTGATAGTTGAGTTTGCCGGTTTTGCCGCAACCCTTTCACTAATAATATTTTAGCCACTAACGAAATGCCACTATTCCACAATGCTTCTTTGATTTATGTGTAGAAGCGGTAGTAGTGAAGAAAATGGCGGGAGAAGAAAGAAAGCGATGTGACACGAGAATAGATCACATCCGACAGCACTACCTCTGATAAGCACGGACTGCATGGAGGTGCTAATGTTAATTTGCTTTAGCTATTGCTTTGTTTTATGAGTGTTTACTGGGATTACATATATGACTAAAGTACGACACTATCCATATGGTTAAAGTATGACATTATCCATATGATTAAGTTGGCTAGTTTTGCAACTACTTTCCATTGAATATAATTTCTCATTATTCTTGTTTCCAAAACTGTAAGGCTTGTCAACACTGTCAAGACTTCGTTTCATAGTACACAAATTTATTCCATGTATCTGGCATTAATTCTCAGTATCTCCTCCTAAAAAAAATCCAATGTACAACAGAAACGTTCGCAGTAGCTTTGATTAGATCAAAAGTAGAATCACTACAGTTGGATACGTCAATTGACAAGTACCTACTTGTATTGGTGTGGTTACAAGTTTAGAGAAACCCATTACTTAAAAATGTAGAGAAGTACATATTTTAATTACCCTCTCGATCTAACTAAGGTATAAAGTTGTGTTTTCATAACAAGTTAATAGGATGTACATTCTGATCTTACAGTATGATTCATATCCAAATCAAATGGAGAAAATGACAGTAAACCAAGAATGCCTAGGCTTACCTCCCAATACATTGGTCGGGTCCATCAGATGCCATCTGCAGTGAAGAGAACACATGAATTATGCCTAAAGTACAATAATTAACTCTTCTACAAGCTTACATGGACAGGGCTTTAGCATGCTTCTCAAAAATGAACTAAAACGCACACATAAAGGTGATTGGCTAAAATGTTTATCGGAAAGAGCAGGTGGCTCGAACTGGGCGCGAGCTTCAGAGACCGTATTATCCAGGACAGGAGAATAACGAGAAATTAGGAGACGGAGTGGCGACGGACCTGGACGACAGCGGAGGAGGCAAAGGGGAGCGGGGAGTCGGAGACGCCGTGGACGAAGGAGAGTCCGGAACCAGCGAGGTCGGATCGGATGCGCCGCTCCAGGCAATCGGGGCACATCGCCCCCGTCCCCGGCGAGCGAGCCATCGCCCACGGCGAGGCCGGCCTGGTTCGAAGGTTCAACAGGCAGCCTCGCCTCCCGGCTTAGCCCGGCGCAGTGCCTCCCGGTCGACGGCCTCGGAGGGCACCCGGCGGCGGCTGGACACCAGCTCTGCGTGAGCAGGGAGAGAAGCAGGAACAGGTGCCTCTATGCTCGAGTCATTCCTCACCAAAGCAAAGAATAGAGAACCAAACTGTGGTTTTTTTTTTTGAAAAACAACTTGAACTTTACTATTTAAAATAATGGTTACATCGTCTATCAGAAGAGTTACAAGATTTTCCATGGGCTCCTCTATTTAATCCCTAGTCATAGAACATTTTGCTAACCTAGCAAACTCATGTGCTACTTGATTCGCTTCTCTATTACAAATGTTTAAAAGTGATTTGAGGAAAATCAGAGGCCATAAAAAACAATCCTCGAAAATTGCAGCCGCCGCTCCCGCAGACTATCCTCGGTTTTTCATTGTGTCGATGGCTTTCATATTATCAAAATTGATAATGAGACGATTGCAGCCTGTCTTTTGTGTCAGCAGTAGACCAAACCTGAATGCTAACACCTCCAGACCAAACCTGAATGCTAACACCTCCACTATCAAAGCATCCGCACAATACTAAATCTTCCAGTTACCACCTACTATGAAGTCTCCTTCTAATAACAGCACCCGTTGTGCCCCTAAGCTGATCATGATAAAAAAAAGCATCCACATTCAACTTGACAACCCCCATGGGAGGTCTGCACCATCCTTCATTTTTTCTCTTTGCTTTAGGAGAGTGGACATTTACATAATTCACTATTATAGCCCGAATCCCCGTCGAGGTTTGGGACGCCTCCTGAGACTTACCCTCATGGACTAGTGTCTGTCTATTCCACCATAAATACCAAGCAGCTATAGCGATTAGTTCCCCTGCATTTCAGAAGCCCAAGATGAGTAGTTCATGATCATGCATAAGGAGTAAGAATTTAAGGACGGCCTCTCCTGCACCACAATGACGCAGGCTTTTCTTTACCACTTCATACAGCCCCAAATATTCCCACACTTCTTTTGTCTTCTGGCACAGAAATAATATATGTTTCGTGTCCTCTGGTCCATCCAAACATGTTGGGCAGCTTGGATGAGTTTTATATGTCTGTTGGCCAATGTAACGCGACACGGTAGAATCCCGTGAAGCGTCCGCCAAATAAAAAATTTAACCTTCGCGATACTTTACAAGACTTGGTGTGCATCAGTATCCTCCTGAGTCATCACCATGCTCACTATACTGTTGCTCTCGTTATCGGTTTTTGTTCTTCTTTCTCATTGGCGTGTTCCGGCATCCCCGTGACGTAGTCACATGTGTCTGGCCAGACGATGATGAATGTCGTCACACCGAGAGGGCCCTAAGAATATCTCTCCATCGTCGGAGCAGAAAATCCCACTCTTGAGCTATCCGGTCATTTGTCAAACTTTTCGGTGAGCCTAAAAGTTGTCGTTATGATCACCTTGTTACAGATGACGTTTGAGCAACCCCAAAGCCCACTGTCTGGTAGGAAGTGACCGAGACACTCTAATGGTCTGAGGAACCAAAACACATGCTAACACTTCGTGCTAACAGATGATTTCAGACGATATAGTCACAAAGTATAACAGACAAGAGAATCCACTCCCGCCATAATGCTTTGCCAAGTACAAGAGGAGCCCTTTTTAGTACTGCGCTCATCAAATCGCCTTCATGGAAATACTTGGTTCTTAGGATTGTTGCACATAACGATCCAGGATTATCCAAGGGTTAGTTGGCTAGAGAGCGCTCAAATCTACGATTCTAGTAAAAGAACACACAGAAAGACCAAACTGTGGTTGGATGGTCAGAGGGACTGTGGTATCCCTAGCCCATCAGGGCTCAAGTCCTGGTGCTCAAGATGATATGCCAGCTTAGTTTTTCGGAGGTGCTCATAAGGGTACGGTGTGCGTGTGTGCGTTCATGTGGTGAGTGTATGCGCGTGTATATAAGCGCTTGCGTCTGTACTGTGTTCAAAAAAAAGATCCCGTAAAATAGCACATCTCGTTAAAAGAAATTGCAGGTCACCGCATATTATCTACCACATACCCTATATCTGCAGTTTTCGAGCCAATTTTTGAGGTGAACCGTAAAATATTCAACGTCGGAGTAGGTAGTAGGAACGTCGCCCGGGCAAGCAGATGAGCTTGGCAGCGGCCGCCGGAGCGTCGCCGGAGTAGCGGGGCTCGACAGTGACAGTCGGAGCATCACCGGAGCAGGCGAAAGAGCTCGGTAGCGGCCACCGAAGCGTCGCCGAAGCAGCGGAGCTCAACAGCGGTCGTTGAAAGCATCACCGGAGCAAGCGTAGGAGCCCGGCAGGACCGTCGTCGGAGCATCGCCGGTTAGCGACCGCCGGAGCCTCGCCAGAGGGTCGCCAGAGCAAGCGGAGGAGCGTCCTGTTTGGGAAACATAGTAGAAAATAAAAAAATTATCCAACGAAAGCCTAGGAACAATATGAAGATGCATATCGGGTTTGGATCAACCATCATTACCGACTTCGGAGTGCAGCGGAGGTAGACGAGTCGGTGTAGATCATACTTGGAGTCTCTCAAACATCAATGGCGATCCCGCGAACCGCCCTCGAACGGAAGACCGAAAGCACAATCTCTCTATTTGGTTGAAAGCGTACGGTCTTCACGATCCGGCGGCACTTCACCGTCCAGAGCTAATCACCGCTAGAGAATTAGAGGAAGGAGATTAGAACCACACGAGGCTTCTAATTATGAGAATTAGAGATGGCTAGAGCTAGCTCTAGTCAACTAGGGCCAACTAAGATTAGAACTAGATCAAATAGAGGAGGCTCCAAAACTTGTGTGTACTATAGAGCAAAATCCCCGGTATATATAGGTTGGAGGGGAGGGAGAGGGCAGCCACCAAGGGGCCCTTGTGGCCCAAGTTACCTTCCATCTCTTGGTCTTTTTAGGCCCATTGATATTTAAATTAAATATAAAATGTTCTAAATATTTTCAGACCATTATATATAATTTAACATCTCTGGAAACATTTTGCACCTATATATATTTATCAGTAATACCCGATATTCACTGAAACCCTTCTGGTGACCCCGAAACGCTTCTAGAACCTCTCGGAACTATTCCGGATATTGATGAAACAATTTCATAAATATATTCTCACTACTCCAGTACCACTAACACTCAGCAGATCGTGATTATCTTAAGCTTGTGACCCCATAGGTTCGGTAATCATGGACATGAACGAAACCCCTTCGTTCAATGACGATAGCGGAACCGTGGACATCCATATCGGTCCCTATGATTATATGAATGATATTCGAGTGAACCTTTGGTTATCATGTGATGTTCCCTTTGCTTCGCGATGATGTTCCCTTTGCTCTTTACAAAACTCGGTGTGCATCGGTATCCTCCCGAGTCATCACCATGCTCACTATACTGTTGCACCCGTTACCGGTTTTTGTTCTTCTTTCTCATTGGCGTGTTCCGGCATCCCCGTGACGTAGTCACCTGTGTCTGGCCAGACGATGATGAATGCCGTTACACCGAGAGGGCCCTAAGAATATCTCTCCATTGTCGGAGCAGAAAATCCCACTCTTGAGCTATCCGATCACTTGTCCAACTTTCTGGTGAGCCTAAAAGTTGTTGTTATGATCACCTTGTTACAGATGACGCTTGAGCAACCCCAAAGCCCACCGTCTAGTAGGAAGTGACCGAGACACTCTAATGGTCTGAGGAACCAAAACACATGCTAACGCTCTGTGCTATAATAGATGATTTCAGACGATATACTCACAAAGTATAACATACAAGATTGGGTCGATTCAATATGATCGTTCTTCCAATGTCATAACCCCAATCTGTTTTAGGACTATCATTACACTTAATGATATCATAAGATCCAAAAAAAGTGATCACCAATAACACTTGAGCTAGTCTTAGAGGTGAGACTTGGAACCTATTGTTAACAGTTTATCATTCCACACGTGCATATGAGTTTTCCACTGAATCGCATATTCCAGGATCATAACAGTTATAACATGAAATATAAACTCTTAACTATGAATATGGAAATATAATAATACAAATATTATTGCCTCTAGGGCATATTTCCAACAGTCGCTGGAGCAAGCGGGGGGATTTTTTGTAGTACAGTTTTGCGGTATCTGTTCTGGCAGGCCCAATTTCATACCGAAAACAGTTTATGGTGACCTGTAAATTGATTTTACAGTACCGCGATATAGGGTATCTGTTAGAGTTACTCTTAAAAGGAAAGTGGTATCCCTAGCCTACCAGAATTCAAGTACTAGACTTTGACACCATTTATTTTAGGCCTTCCGGCGATATGCATTTTCTTTTGAGCAAACACAGTGGGGAAAACTCCCACTGTAACTCTTTATCATTAATATGGATGGAACATATACATGGTTTTATACCAGGGGTTACATTAAGGATCTAGTTCACAAGTAATCTAGCCATGATTGCATTCCTTCTTCCAGACTTGGTTTTTCCTTCTTGATAATGATGCCAAACTGCTCCTTAAAACAGGCAATGCAATATGCTAGATTTTTGGTCTTGTTGTAAAATATGATGCCATTTCCGTGCATCTCCGGCATCCAGAAATTAAGCATTCCTTGTAAAAACCTGAGTTGTCCCTTTTCCTTCCATCCATCAGCATCTCTGTCAGATCATAATCAGTGTTTCACTGGGAACCTAGTGTTGGGGAACGCAGTAATTTCAAATTTTTCCTACGGACACGCAAGATCATGGTGATGCATAGCAACGAGAGGGGAGAGTGTGATCTACGTACCCTTGTAGATCGACAACGGAAGTGTTTGGTTGATGTAGTCGTACGTCTCCACGGCCCGACCGATCAAGCACTGAAACTACGGCACCTCCGAGTTCTAGCACACGTTCAGCTCGATGACGATCCCCGGACTCCGATCCAGCAAAGTGTCGGGGAAGAGTTCCGTCAGCACG